GAATGAGACGATAAGGAGGTAGCCCGTTGCGTCCGGCGCGGCGGAGGAGATGCCGGCGGAGACGATCGTCCACAGCACCGTCGACCAGCGCGTGGCCTTAAAGAGAATCTTACTCGGTGAGAATTTCCAAAGACAAAATTTCGCACTCCCGCACTCTAATCATATAAAACATTTTTTATTTTTCTTTTTCGCTGGTGTTCGGGTCCCCCTCTGGTCGAGTTGGGTTTGCCCTGCTGGTTTGCCCTCTGAGCTCTGTGTCATGCCGTGGCACAAGAACAAATTCTTGCGCGACCTGCAGGAGGAGGACGAGGGCTTTGTCCGGATCAAGTTGCCACCCGGCGACATAGGCCTGACGTTCAACGGTGCGACCGTGGCTGCCGTCGCGAGTGGAAGCATCGCAGAAGGCAAGGTCGCCGTGGGGTGGTCGCTGTTCGGCAGCGCAACACAGGAGCAGCAGTGCTCCACGAGCGGCGCCGTGCAATTCCTCCAAGATCACGCCGAAGTTGAGCGGGAGCTCTTTTTTCGGCGTGAGGCGCCGACGACGTTCGAGCGCGATGGCTCTGTCGTCGTCCCGCCCGGCCCTCTGTGGCTGACGCTAACCAGCGGCGCTACGGGCGTGTCCGTTGCGTCGATCCAGCCGGCGTCGCCGCTGGCTCATCTCGTGCGGCCGGGCATGCTGCTGCAGCGCGTCGACGGCGTCGACGTCACTGCCCTCAGCCACAAAGAGGTGGCCGCGATGCTGCGTGAGCGCGTCGCCTTTGAGCGGGCGCTCGCCTTCGCCCCGGCGGAGGCGGCGGCTTGGTCGTTGCGCGGCGCCGTCATCGTCGCGTCGTGCGTCGTCCTCATCGCCGCCGTCCTCATCGCCCTCGCCGGCGGAGCCAACCTCGCCCACGCGTCGAGTCCGTTTCGCGCCGCGGCCTCGCCGAGAGACGCCCTGGCCCACCAGCACAAGATCGCGACGCTCGAGTACCTGTGGGGCTGCCCGGGCATCGGACGCGAGTTCCTCGCCAAGGTGATCGTGCCCGTCATGCGGGGGGCCTGAGCCCACGCCGCCTCGCCGCGAGAAGTTGGGGTCGTTAATGTACCGTACGTGAGACCTTGTGAGTGCGAGTCTCGCCTCTCGACGACCCCCCTGTCCCCCCACCGCCCCGGCTGTAAGAAAGAAATGGGTGCGGGTGCACAAACAAACTGACCTTCACTAGAGCCGTAAAAGCTGAGGATTCGTTTAAAGGCCAAGGTAGGCCGCCTATTGAAATCGAACAGAGCGCTAGCGCTCTCTTCGCGCAAGCTCGCACGGCCTCTCACGCTCCGCTGCTGCCCTCTTGGCGGCTCTCCGCCCGCCAGCTCGACCAACTCCACCGCCGAGAGGCTGGGATTGGCCGGCGGCGCGACGCGTGGCCTCTGCTGCGGCCATCTCGGACGCTCAAGCGGCGCCAGCCAGCGGCTCGGCCGCGCATCCTTCACACACGCCGCCACGACCAAGCTGAGCGGGCCCGGTGTCGAGTCATGGTGCGAGCTGCATGTCAGGGGCGGCTCTGGCCACAGCAGGTCCACCAGACGGGCGTCAAAGCTTGCCGTCGGCGTGCTGTCGTGGCGAGAGCCGAGACCGCTGCAGAGGAGCCGAGTGCAGTGGCGAGCCAGAGGCTACCAGGGTCACCAGGTGGTAGCCCTTGCCCATTCTGAGCAGGGATGTGCTTTGATGGGGTTGTGCTTGAGCGTGTGTGAAGTGGGAGTGCGTGCCGGCGGTGTCTGTGGCTGAAACGGGCGTGTGTGAGGCTGCAGAGCCGTGGTATGAGCCAGAGTGAGCTTCATCACCCAAGATAAGTGCGGTTTGGGACGGCTCAGACTTGCTGCTGATGGGCCTGGGCCAGGAGAGCGACAGAGAAGGCGAGGTGGTGAGCTGGGAAGCCGCTTTGTCGGCACCTGGACGTGTCGCGATGAAGTGCCAAAAAGTACTATTTGCGGCTATTGCTCCAAACTTCGGGAGACAAGGCCTACATATTATGACTGCATCCATGAGCCTAGTGCATGAGGGCTGTGGGTCGGGACATTTCACGGTCGGTGGCGCCGACAATGACCTCCGTAATGCCCTCGCAATCGGCTCGGATGGGGTCCACCGGGCACAATCTCGAGCCCTCTCCGTGGCATCACGAGCCGGTGTGAGCTTGAAGACCCGAGGTAAGTGCGGTTTGGGACAGCTCAGACCTGATACTGATGGGCCTGGGCCAGGAGAGCGACAGAGAAGGCGAGGTGGTGAGCTGAGAGCAGGAAATAGCGCTTCGTGGCACTTTTATCGCGACAAGGTCACACGCGGACTCTCCAGCCTCATGCTCGCCCTGGAAAAAATGCTCGCCCTGACCGCAGGTATGCGAGCCTCATGCTCGCCCTCACCGCTTGCTGTGAGGCGCTCATCCTGCTCAGCCCACCAGCACACCACTACGGGTACTACGACAGCAAGCGCAGCGCAATATACAGCTTCGTGAACACATTCTTCGAGGCGGCCGCTGGCGCCGGCGAACAACTCTATGTCGTTGCTGACAATCGCACACGGCGCGACCTCTCCGAGGAGTACGGCCTGAATGACGCGATCGTTGGTGTTCTCGACGACATTTGGATCAGGGACTTCTTCGTGACGCAGCTTTCCGATACGACACTCGTCCGCTTTGGCTACCGCCCCATGTACCTAAACCAGCAAGAAATCAGCTGGATTGACCACAGCGCTCGGCGCTTTGTGGAGCAGATCTGGCCCCGTGGCGAGGTCTCGCTACTCTCCGGGAATGGACCGTACCCGTGCCTCAAGGATGCTTGCGAGATGAGGGCTGACTCTCTGGTGTTGGACGGCGGAGGCATTGTTTGGGAGCCGACGACCCGACGCGCTGTCGTGACCGAGCGAGTGCTGCGCGACAACCCGTGGCTGGTTGGCCGTCTGAGCCTCAGCGCTGACGGCCTACCGCCGCGCCCCATGGGCGCGGCCGATCCGTACGCGGGCGCGCCAGCCATCACCTCCGCCGATCTGGAGCATGCCAAAAGCGTCCTCGAGCGCCTGCTCGCCGAGGCCCTCTCCCCCACAAACGCCAGCGGGATCAACGTGACCGTCGCCATCGTTCCCGAGGAGCCGAGCGCGCCGCGCCTCGGCCATGTCGACGGCATCTGCAACTGGCTCGCCCCCTCGACCCTCGCACTGTCAAACTTCTCAGACCCCTCCACCTTCGCGCTCTTCGCGGCACGCCTGGCTGCCGCCTTTGGCGACGATGTGAACATTGTGCCCTTCCCGTACTACCCTTCGTCCGACGTCTGGAAGGACGGGTTTGAGAGCGCCGAGGGCGTCTACGTGAACTTTGCGCGGACGCGGTATGCAATCTACGTCCCGACCTTCGGCGCACCGGCGGATTCTGAGGCCCTCGCTCTCGTCGCCGAGCACGCCGACCGCCCACTAGCAGTCGTCGGGGTCGATGCGCGCGCTGTCGCCATCATGGGCGGCAGCGTGCGCTGCCTCAGCACCTTCCTCTGGGGTGCGGCAGCTGACACCGTCACCGCGCTCAGGGCACCGCCACCACTTGGCTCACCCTCGCCGCCGCCGCCGGCCGGCGACGGCGTGCCCGTCGGTATCGTCGCAGGAGCTACGGCAGGCGGCGTGGCGCTCATCGCGCTCGTCCTCGTGAGCATCCTCTATGCATACAAGGTGGCGTGTTGGGCGCCGAAGGCCAAACGCGCCCAAGGGGGCGAGATCTCCATCGGGCCCGCCCTTTGAGTTGATGTGCTGTATCACTCGCTTGCTCGATCCACTGTATCCAATCCACTGTGTGTCCGCTGTCGCTCGCTAAGCCCGGTACGTGCGCTGCCAAGCGCGGGGCAATATGTATGAGGTAAGAAGGGAGACACGTGGACTAGGTAGACGGCACTCCCATACATGAGCCATACCTCAAATCCTCCTTTCCCACGCGTCTGGATCCTGGGGGTGGGGCTACACACACGGCGCGCACACGTCCCCCGGCCCCGCCCGAGAGGCTCCCGACTCCCGCAAGCCAACCAGTGTCACCGCTCGGCGCGAGAGGAGGCCTCTCCCGTTCCCTCCTTGCCGCGGCCGCCTCGCACACCACCAACGTGTCCCTCGACCCGCGCTCTGTTCCGCAAACGCCTCTGCTCTCCAACCCGTGTCTGCCCTCTCCCGCCCGCGTCCCGCTCCATCCCACGCACACACCCATTCCGCCCGCGCTTCACCACCACTGCCGATCCCACTCCCAACCGCATCCCCCGGGCCCCGAAAGGCATCTCTAGCAGCGTCGTTACGCATGCGCCCTCCCCTCCTGGTCCTGGCACCTGGGCGCATGCGCCTCACATCTCGCCAGAGCATAAGCTCTTGGTGTGCTACGAGACGAGTTTTTCGCCATCGCCGCGAGCAGCAAGCCGCCCGCCGCAACAGCCGCACACACACACATACCAAGCCCGCAGGAGAGTTGGGAGCCGCGGCACTAGACTGCGCCGCCAGCGAGGCGAGAGCTGCAGCCGCCGACCTGCCCGACATGGCAGTTGCAACGGCGGGATTTGCCTTCTATATCGATGAGAAGCCGTACAGCCAGCCGACTCGCGGCGTCTCGTGTGAGACAGAGAGTAAAGTGCCAAGGGGGGCACCACAGAGGATCTCCGCATTCCAACGCCCCCCCCCAAACGATTACTTCTCACCAAGCCATGGAGTACCCCCACGGAGACACCCCCAAGCCATGGCCCAAGGAGACACCCCCAAGCCCAAGCCATGGCCTTATACCCAAGCCGTGAGCCTTGTGCATACCTACCTACCTCAGCCATGCATGACCTTACTTACTATACTTGTTTCATAACATCGATCGAAGGCTAGCTCAAAACAAAACCCCTGGCTTTACATGTACACCCAGACCATGAATACCGGGGTTTTGCGTTTAACCATGCGACAGGAAATAAAACCCATACCGCGGAAAAAGTTGGAACCCTGCGCGCCGTGCAGTGTCTCGGCGGAGGGAGAGGTAAAGGAGGAACCACCCACCGAGTGGCTCGAACAAAAAGAGCCCTATGCCGCGAGAGATCCGCTCCCTGCGCGAGCTACTCGAGGTGGCCACCTCGTCGCTGCCCCGCGTGGTCGTGGTTGACTTTTATGCCCAGTGGTGTGGCCCGTGCAAGCTCGTCGCGCCCCACTTTGAGCAGATGGCGGCGACGTTCTCGGACGTGGCGCTCTTCGTCAAGGTGGATGTCGACGTTGCGGAGGACGTGCGCGACTTTGCGGGCGTGCGCGCGATGCCGACGTTCCACGTCTACCGCGGCGCCGAGCGCGTCTTTGAGCTCGTCGGCGCCAACCTCCCCAAGCTCGAGGCCTTCCTGGCGCGCCACCGCAGCAACCGGCCGGCGCAATCCGCGGCGCCGGCTCTGCCGGCTCTGCCGCCGCCCGCACCTGCGCCGACGGCGCCACCGCCCGCGGCGGCTGGCGCGTCGAGTGCGCCGCCGGGGGCCGGCCTGGTGCCCGTGCGAGTGCTGATGAAGTTTGACGATGGCAAGGCCGCCGCCATCAAGCGAAAGCTGCTCGAGGTGAGCGGCGCGCTGCGGGGGGAGGGCCACGCGGCGGCGCTGCCGGAGCAGAGGGAGCGGGCGCTGGCGCGGCTCTGCGACAGCGTCGCCGCAAACGCGGGCGGCGACGCGGGCGAGGGCGACACAGGCGGAGTCGAGGACGGCATCTCGGCCGCACTGCTCGCCCTTTCGTGGCCGTCGGGGCGGCGCTGGCCGGCGCTCGATCTGCTTCGGCTAGCGGTGAGGGGGGAGGGGGGGGGAGGGGGGGGGGGTAGGGAGGGAGGGAGACGGAAGAGGAGCCAAGCCAAGCATCGCCGACGTCACCAAGGCCTTGTCCGAGGCGTGGCGAGCAAAGACGCGTAGACGTGGAGAGGAGAGGAGTCACACGGGCACAGGCGCTCGCAGCAGCGGCGCGAGCGTGGCGGCGCGGAGAGGGGGGAGGCGCGGGCGGTGTCGCTGCGAGCGGGGGAGGGTCGTCACGCCGCGCCGGTGGTAGGCCGCCGAGAGAGACGGAGAGAGAGGGCGCGACGGGAGAGTGTGAGAGGGAAGAGGCAGAGAGAGAGAGGTGTCTCTGTTTGCCTCTCCCTCTCACAGAGACAGACAGAGACAGGCGGAGACAGACAGATAGAGACAGGCAGCCGGGCAGAGAGTCGCAGGGAGGGGAGGGGGGGCGCGCAGAGAGAGAGACAGACAGACAGACAGACAGACAGACAGAGAGGGAGACATAGACACAGACACAGAGACACAGAGAGTCTCGCCCCCCCTTCGCCGAGTCTGTGTGCTCCTCCTGCGCCCCCCGCAGGTGCTGCGGCACGCGGCGTCGCCTTGTTGGGACGCGTGGGCGGACGCGGCGAGCTTTGGCGAGGGGCGGGGCGGGGCGGGGGCGGGCGAGGCGCCTGGGGCGGGAGGCTCGGAGGGCGGCGAGGTACCCGAACGCACCCTCCCCTACCCCACGGTACCCGAACCCACCCTTCTCTGCCCCACGGTACCCGAACCCACCCTCCCCTACCCCACGGTACCCGAACGCACCCTCCCCTACCCCACGGTACCCGAACCCACCCTCCCCTACCCCACGGTACCCGAACGCACCCTCCCCTACCCCACGGTACCCGAACCCACCCTCCCTACCCCACGGTACCCGAACGCACCCTCCCCTACCCCACGGTACCCGAACCCACCCTCCTCTACCCCACGGTACCCGAACCCACCCTCCCTACCCCACGGTACCCGAACCCACCCTCCCCTACCCCACGGTACCCGAACCCACCCTCCCCTACCCCACGGTACCCGAACCCACCCTCCTCTGCCCCACGGTACCCGAACCCACCCTCCCCTACCCCACGGTACCCGATCCCACCCTCCCTACCCCACGGTACCCGAACCCACCCTCCCCTCCCCCACGGTACCTAGAGAGCCCTGCAGGCGGGGCCCGCGGCGGTACTCGACGCGCTACGCTCGTCGGACTTTGGCGGCGTCGAGGCGACTTGATTGAGTGCATGCATGAATGAATGGATGAATGAATGGATGGATGGGTGCATGCATGAATGAATGGATGAATGGATGGATGGATGGGTGCATGCATGAATGCATGCATGAGTGCATGAATGAATGCATGGATGGCTGGATGAGGTTTCACCTCCGGCTTTGGCGGCGCCCAAAGGCGATGTTTGCACTGCGGCTGGCGGCGAACTTGCTCGCGGCGGGCAAGGGCGGGGCGTCCCTTGCCCTCCTCCCGCCCATCCTTGAGGCGGCCGCAGCGGCAGGCGCCCGCCACAGGGACCGACACACGCACGCACGCGCGCACGCACGCGCGCACGCACGCACGCACGCACGCACGCACGCACGCACGCACGCACGCACGCACGCACGCACGCACGCACGCACGCTCAGACGCTCACGCTCCTCAGACGCGCGCACGCACATGGCACAGAGGCATTGGGCGCGCGCAGGTGCACGCCAACCACGTGTCCGGTTGTCCAATCCCCCCCCCCCCCGTC